AATAAAAAATTGTTTTTTTATAAGATTTACATTTATATATATATATATATATATATATATATATATAATCACACACCATGCCGTACCGTAGGGATAGTTTAATTTCATAAGATAATCAAAATAAAAAAAAAAACAGAAAAAAATAGAGTGAAAACGCGGACAAAAGTAATATATAAAATAACTAAGAAAAAAAAACTATGTTATCGTATAAATAAGTAAATAAATGAATACACAGATGAGCCTCAACGGAAGAAGGGATAGGAGTGCGAGAGGTGGTTACTAAGCATGATTATGACTTTACAATTTCTTAGACACACAATATATTGAGACAATAAATAAGTAAATAACCATTAAATTACCATAATCATATCAATAAGCTCATATCAATGAATACTAAACTTCTTATATGTTGAAAATGTGTCGGTATTGATTCTGAAGACATTTGACGGTTCAAAAGGAAGAGAGAGCGATAAAGGAGAGCCCTCCAATAGAAGAGGAGGACTCTTTATTTGATCTGATTCAGTCGTTCCTACCAAAGCAAACCACGCCAAATCCGACCTAGCCACGAAAGCGACTAAATTAGAGATATTTTGTCAGAAATGAGACAAAGATATTCAAGCTAACTACTATAAGAAAGCTGACTGAAAGCAATAGTCTACCTTTTGGTATATTTGATCCAATGAAAGACACAACCCCACGTTATCAACAGCCATCCTACGGATGACCCTGAGTTTTTTCATCAGAGAAAAAAAAATTAACAATTCGGCGAAGAATCTTTTAATCATCCCTCATGCTCTCCTTATTATAGCAAAGGTAAAAATATAACATCACCATATTGTAATCTCTGTCATTTAGATAGTGAGATCATTTTATGAGAATGGATATGATAGATATGATGAATTACTCTTTATTATTGTTTATTCCTCTCTCTCTCTCTCTCCCCTATTTTTCTCTGTGTTCTTGTACTCTATTCCTTGGGGTGCGATTAACGGACAAATCAGGATCCAACACTTCTATACATTACTACATGAAACTCCTACAACATCAATTTGGTAAAAGAGAACATAGTTTACATAAGAGTTTATGTGGCCAATTATTACAAGGAAAAACTAGACAAAGGCATCCTTATTTAAATTTAATCATGATCAATTATATCATCATTAATTCTTTCATTGAATTCCCAATGAGTTGGTTGTGGCATATGCAAATATATAAATTTAAAAGTTCATTTCGGGGTTGATGGTCGGATTTATGAATTAAAAAGACTTGAATGATTTGAGCATTGTTTTTCAAAATGAAAAAGGGGGCATTGACAAACATAACACCCAATTATGCATTTACATACCTAACACCTAAACATTACCTCTTACATTTATACCACCCAAATTCTTTATATTAAATAAAAAAGTAACAATATTTTGACTTATTAAAGGTGAAATGCACCTTTCATGCATGAATAAAATGTCATATATGTAATAATTGAAAGTAAAGTGTTAAATATGTAAATTCATAGGAATTGAGTGGCATGCCTGTAAATCTTCTAAAAAAAGTACTACTTATAGAAAAGACACATGCATATTTGAACTGATATTTACGCTAGTCCTGGCGGCTTGCAGCAAATACAAAATCCATGTCATCTTCTATTAGGCATTATTGTCTCCACACAGGTAGAGCACAAAATAATGTGAATTTGTTCTAAAAATTTCTGGAAATTTACATAAATACAACCCAACTCTTACGTATTTACATATCTAACACCCAAAGTTTGATATTTACACTCATAACACCATGGTGGCATACTTATGCATGAAAATGTGTACCTTTTAAATAATTAGTATGGTGATATTTTTGGTGTGAACTGTGATGTTAAAGATTTGAGTGATATGCATGTAAATAGGATTGTTTAGGTGCTAGATATCTGAATACATAAGAATTGTGTGGTATGGATGTAAATACCCCAAGAATTTATTAATTTTTTAAGGAATAAAGGGACTAAAAAATGAGTAATTAAGCTAAGTTACCTCCATTTGATCTCCCAAGTTGACAAGAAAAGCATGTGGAACAATGGGAACTGAAAATCATTCACCATTTTAAGTACCTGCAGTCCATCCACATCTTGGTCGAGTAAAAAAAGTGTGAGAGCTGAACCATCAGAATGAGCTTTCATACCAATCACTGCATCAGACTTACAACAACCAGGGTAGTAATTAAAGCCTCGTTTGGGACCGATTTTTTCCCGAGAGCGGCACCTCGTTTGGGACCGATTTTTTTTCGCTTGACCAATTTTTCTTTTGTTGTAACTGGATGTGCAGCTCTGTGTTGGAGCTATTGAGTTTTTGGGTTTTCTTC